ATTTCGCTCGTCTATTTTTGAAAAAAAAAGGTATCGGTTTAACACCCCTGTCAACACTATTAGGCTATAGGTGGGACCTCCGAGTTTAACGTCCATCTCAGAAAAGACTGAGCGAAATGGGAATTTCGTGCAAAGTGTCTTTCCCAAGGACACAACGTCAGACGGAGCTGAAGTGTCTTTCCCAAGGACACAACGTCAGACGGAGCTGAAGTGTCTTTCCCAAGGACACAACGTCTGACCGAGCTGAAGTGTCTTTCCCAAGGACACAACGTCTGACCGAGCTGAAGTGTCTTTCCCAAGGACACAACGTCTGACCGAGCTGACGCTCGAACCCTCGAACCCGCAATGTAACGCTTACGAGTCCGGTAGTCTAACCATTAGGCTTCAGACGCCACTCTTTATTTTTGAGCATGAGGAGTTATTGGTATCATCTTAAAGCTTATTCATTTGCCTTTTTGTGATGAAAAAAATACTGACCTATCTTGAATAAAAGACGAGGTATTTTGTGACTGAAGATGGTTGGTACAGGCTGGTTACAGAGGAAAAATTTACGAGAAAATTGCCGTCAAAGTTTAATAAATTCTATAACTTAAGGGTCCTTGAAAACTGAAAATGTACATGCTTTTAAACCATTTACATGGAAATATGTTTTATAAGGACATAACAGGAGTTAAGCTAAAACAAAACACACACAAAAATGCGATAAAATAAGCCAAACTGGATGAAAAAGTGCTTGTTAAACTTCAGTTTCATTTTCTTAACGAGCGCCTGATTTCAGCACGATGCCTCAACTTTTTTACTCATGTATCCTTGAGTTTATTGATCCTGTCTTATCAAACCGGGTTTTGCCAGAATGTACGGGTGTTGGAGGGCGCCACAAGTAGCTTCTACTTCTCATCTACTCACTCTGATGTTTTTGTATGTCTGTCTGTCTGTCTTGCCATTACGTTCTTTAAAAAGAAATGACGGTTTTCATTTCTTTGTGCTTCGTCTTTGAAACTACGAAACATTATCCGGAGTGCTCTCTCTCTCTCTCTCTCTCTGTCTCTGCCTCTGTCTCTCTCTGTCTCTGTCTCTTTCTCTTTCTCTCACTCTCTCTCTCTCACTCTCCCTCTCACTCTCTCTCTCTCTCTCACTCTCTCTCTCACTCTCTCTCTCACTCTCTCTCTCACTCTCTCTT